CTGTCTGGCTTAATCTGTATTTATTCCACAAAATTCACACCAAACTGGTGTGTGGACAAATGAAAGTGTGAGTGTGTGTATTTGTCTTCTTGTGCATATTTTGCATGCTGTGTAAACACGGCATGTCCTTTTAGTCTGTGTGTAATATTTTCTTTATTTTACAGGCCCATTATATAATTAATAATATTGAGAATAATCATGCCCGCATGGTAATTACTAAAGGAAGAACGTCAATATTTTACTTGTGTGTTTAGCAAATTATATTTCAAGTATCAAAGGTGAAAGTACTCATCATGAATTACCATATTATTGCAATGATTATTCTCTTTATTGATGAACCTCTTTTTTCCAATTAGTTGATCAATCTTTTAGTATATAAAATGTTAGAAATGATCTAAATTAAAAATATATAACCTGTCAAAGATACGGAGAGAATCTGTATCACCACCTTGGATACTACCATATGTATGTGCATTAATACATAAAATTGACCAGAGCCCAAGGTTGAGGATTTTATTCATCATTTGTTCGACCAACAGTCCAAAACTCAGATGTTCAATTTACAATCATATAAAATTAACAAAAAGCAACAAATACTGTCAATCAGTTGAATTATGTTGCAAATAATCGCTGCACTAATCATATTACTGGATTACTATATTAATGATGCATTTTAATGTGGCAGCCGGAAAAGAAAAAACACAGTACATTTACTTATTTACTGTACTTTTAGTAGTAGAATTTTAGATAAATATTGTACATTTTACTCCACTACAGCTATCTGAAAGTAATAGTTAGTATATGAAGCAGTCCCTCCAGGAAGTTGTGAAGTTGTGATGGCAACAATTAACACAAATTCAGCCAATCCCTGTCAATTTTTGCACAACGTTGCAATTTTGTCCAATCATTGTAGTTTTCAGCGTAAAACGTTGAGCCATACGTGACCAAACTCACTTCCGTGTTTCTCGTTGCATATTGGGTCTTGTTAAGTAAACATTAATGGTTTCCCACAACTTTCTATATTTTTTAAATCCATGTTTATATGTGAAAAATACAACTACATAAATATTACTTGATTTTAACCAGTTTCATAATGTTTTCTATTAAAAATGTTACAGATGAGGGCTTTATTTGAAGCTTACAGTAGGCCCTGAATAACAACGTACGTATAACGTATTAAATTAACTTGATCTATTTTCCATTGTGTTTGGAAGTCCCATGATAACAGATGATACAACCAGCCTGAAACAATAACGCACATGGATGTCATTCTGCAGCCCCATCCTCTCACTTCCCGCGACCCTGCATGGACAAAGAGAAGTGTCAACACCACCTCTCTAACTGCACAATTAACATGCAAATGAGCTCAGTCGCTAATGGCGATGGCAAAGCGCTCTTATGATGGAAATATGCTTTCTGTTTTGGCAGTATGGGTTAAACATTAGTCTATGGAATCAGCTGAGGACAGGAGGGCAGAGGGCCCCGAGGCTTCCCTGAGGGCAGAAAGAGAGAGAGAGACAGAGAATGCGTAGGACACGAAGAAGAGCGACATGGCCTGCTTGCCCACCTGCTTCACTGACGTGAGACTTATGAGCACACGACACGAGCACACACACACAGAGCACAACCAGGCAGTTATAATCAACCTCGTTCAGGCTGTCAGCCTGGTCAATAACTTATCCCCTCAACTGCTTTTGTTCTAGCAGCAGCTCGGCTGATGCGGCCGCTGCCCCTTATTCAACGGAAATTTATTTTCAATTGCTGCCCTCAGGCACCGGCCCTGCAGCAGCTCACTGACCGAGCAAGTAAACACACCAGCAGACCACTTCACACTCACACGCTCTCTTCATATTGAAGGCAACAACAGTGTGCGATTGCCAGATGAGATGTTTGTACAAACTCTGGAGTTATTAAAGCCTTAACACCCCTACTGTTTGTACATATCTGACTAAAAAGCTGCATTCTTTGCAGCTTTGTAAAGCTCGTAACTACGATGGAGCTGACAAGCATCTGTCAGTGTGTTTTAATTAAAACAACTTTACAGATTGTAGATTTTTTTCGGGGGGGATCAGCTTGGTCACAGGGAGACAGAGTGAGGCTGACAGCATTTGTTGCCTTGTTAGCCTCCATGTCCAAGAGTGAAAATAAAGGCCTGTTTGTGTGTGTGTTTGTGTGTGTGTGTGTGTGTGTGTGCTGAACAAAGCAGTGTTGCTTTAGGTGATAAACCTCGAGTGGGTCCCAGTAACAGGTGTGTGCTCTGTAAAAGGACCAGTCGTTTGTCAAGACTCATGAAAAAAGGAGCTGATGGCCACAAGTCCATTCAGTCATCGCTGACCGGCCTGAAACAACAAAAGACACCATCTCTGAAGAGATGATGTCTCCTGTCTGTCTGTCTGTCTGTCAAAACATAAAGTTAACACAAATTCATTCATCTCCAATATGCTTTGAGGTTTTGATGCTCCCTGCAGACTTTTACAAAGCAGAAGTGGTTGGAAGAAAAGTGACAAATTAGTGCTAAAAAGCTGCAGTTTAATTGTCATTTGATGAATAAAAGATTGCTGAAATACCTGTAAAACAACAACATATTTCATATGTAAGCATTTCGTAGCTGGTTTTCACAGCTCTCTCTCAGTATTCTTCAGTATATATTTTTTTAGTACCATCACCAACATTCTGTATTTGCTATGCCTCCCTTAATAAAGGAGGCATTTGATTAGGTAAAAGTAAAAAAGAGTATAATGAGAATATTCTTTATGAATCGTGCAAGGAACATAAACCCAGTCTATGATCAACATAAAAACATAATTAAAACATTGTTTGTAAGTGTATGATTATGACTTCACTTGCTTTTAGCAGAATTACAGTCAAAAACTTTTACTTTTCAGAGTGCAGTCCATGGAGCAGATTTACACTCCCAGAATAAAACAGAAACAGCAGTGATTTACATGCACCTCTTTAATATGCAACTGCCATGGTTTGCATTTGTTTTGAGCATGTTATTTGCATGTGCATGATTGTTTTGTGCATTATTTTGTGGCTTACTCACAAATGACCCCCCTCCATGAATGTAACAGTGCTTGATGGCAGCAGCAGCAGCAGCACCAGTTGTCTCTGCTTTACTCAGCTCCTAATTAGCTAGAATTAAGAAGTATTTCTCGGCCCATTGAAGAGTCCATTTCCTTTGAAACCAGAGCATAATAAACCTTAAGTAATTACCCCAACTCATGACTATTAACTCGCAAACCGCCAGCTTCCCTTGACAACATCCTCCTCAGTGTTGTGCGGTTAAAAGGCCATTGCAGCTACCCAGCTATTTACATCCCATCTGGCAGCCTGCGAGGGACAGACAGGCTATACTCATTCCTAAAGACAAAAAAGAAGTGTAAAATGGACTCTTTCACTCTTTCTCAACTTAGCCACAGAACTTGTGTTTTCTTCCCTCCAAATAAGTTACAAAAGGGCTTCTTCTCCTTTTCTTTTTCTTGTCTTTCTTTACTTTTTTTAATCCACACACTCATTTGCATGCGGCGAGGCCGAGGAGGGGCTCTGAATGTATAATCTTCTGCATTTAGTAGCCTGTAATCCCGACGCCTTTCTGTGATGTGATTTTCTCCTCTTGGTCCCCCATGAACAATTAACTTGTAATCTCCACAAACATACATTCTGTCGCTGCAGAGATGAGACGGAGAAACACCCAAGGGACCCGGCGGACAAACCGCTCTGCGCTCCCCGAGGCGGATCACAATTCAACTGGGCTCCATTAGGCTGCAGCCCAGTCCCTCATTTCATCCTCATTTTCTCCTTCTTAACATTTGTTGTGAGCTGCTCGGAAAAGTTAAATAAATTCTGCCTGACCGTGTATGTGTGTGTGTGTGTGTGTGTGGTTTTTTTTACTCATCATTAGCTGTTATTGTGCAACATGGGGCCTGTGGGTGCAGAGATGAGACAGAAGAGAAATGACCAGCTGATATAAAATCAGGTTTCAATTTCAAATTGTTTTAAAGTGGTACAGGGGCTTGCAGAACATGAGCCGACCTTGAACAGCTTTCGGGCGGTCCTCACTTAATTTTAGAGCTGTATTTAAAATATTAATTTTAATAAACACACAAACAAAATGCGGCTGTTGTAAGTTGTACCATAGGCCCACATATGTATAAGCAGGGAATTTCAATTTCGGAGCAAAATTTAAAGGAAAAAATACAATTATCTGAGAGTTATTTAATTTTCGTTCACTCACTTGTTTCTTCTATTCTTTATAAATATTCTGTCTATAATAAACATATTTGACCAATTTCTCTCCTTAAAATTTACTCTTTTATGTTAAATGTCATTATTTTCGTTGATTTCAAATAATTAAAAGTGGAAATTTGGAGTCTGTGAAAGTCAACACACCGTGGCGTTTTTAACTGAGGCCTTACTTGAGTTAATTAGAGTAAAAAATGAAATACTGAAAGATGTACAATAATTTAAGAACCTATGTTTTGGCTAAAATAACGGGATCGATTGAGAGAGATTGAAGTGTTTTTATCTGAAAATAAAAGTGTGTTTATTTTGAATGTGCATCCATTAAAGAAATAAGTACACTGTAATAGTAAATAATAGGTAAAATGTAGAACTTCGGATAGTTTGAACACGATAAATATTGTTTTTAATGTTTTAGAGTTCCAAGTGACAGAGGGGGAGACAGTAAGTATGATCCATAATTTCAGTTTTATTGAAATTTCATCCAGGGACGCTGGGCGATAATAAATATTTCATCAGTCATCAACAATGTACAAAAATAAAGACACGGGGTCTCTGGGGATAACAAATTCAGTTCAGCAAAAAAAAACAATCATGCTGTGATAAGTACACCATCATGCAAAAAAAAAGAAAGAAAAAAAAATGTAAATCAGAGGCACAAATCGACCCATACCAATGGAGGTCCAAACAAAATAAAAATCTAAAAAACCTTAGATTTGGAAAAAACCAAAAATTTCTGCGGTGGCAGAAAATCATTTAAGCCAAACACATTAATGTCTTTTCATATAGAACTCAAGTTTAAAATCCTTGGTACAAGGCACACAGAGCATTCTTCGTTTTCACAAAATGACGCCTGATACAGAAAAAAAATTGTAAAACTGAAATCAAAATGTTCATGCAGCCTCCTCCACCTTTCACATTGTGGCGTGAGACTAAAACTCAAACACAAGAGGATCGTGGCATCTTTTTTTTTGCATGACACAGAACTTGTTTATTTTACCATCAATTGGCAAAATCATCAATCATTATAAGTCCTTGTTACAAGGAGGAAAATAACACCTTTTCTCATACGCCAAACAAGAAAACAGACTAAACAACAACATGCACCAGTGAGGCCAAATCCACCCTCATGCCCTGAATTCTCTATTTACAATCAGTCTCTGCGCGTCTGTCACACACACACACACACCGGGCATCATTTCATCCCGTCTTTGCCCTCCACTGTGAGTCTCGTGAGGCCGGTGGAGGTGATGGGGATGTGTGGAGGAGGAGGCACCTGGCAGATGGTGCAGGGACACGGGAGTCCGGCCCAGTGCTGGAAGCCGGAACCCAGCTGCAGGGCCGGGGGCGCAGCCGGGGACCCCTTCATCAGGGAGTGGGGTGCTCGGATAGACGTGAGCCCCGGCAGCGCGCTCGACAGGGTGGAGGACGTGGAGGAAGTCAGCGCGGTCCCGAGGAGAGGGTGCACCTGGTGCGCCGCGGCGGCTGCGGCAGCGGCTGCAGCGGCGGGGCCCC